ACCCCTCCCGCTCTAACAATACTATCATTGGGCAGCAAGGCTTAGCCCTGCCCATTTTCACGAAGTTGGGAGGGGGATATTGTTGCCCATGGCTTTGGTAGCGTTACTGTCATGAAAGTTGCAACCAGTCAGGAACGCTTAAATTTTTCTTTTCTTTTCACATTGATTCACATTAGGCACCAGAAAACAGGTCCATCCCATTTCAGCCCTGAGACACAAAATGGAACCAGCATCTCCTACAAATGGTCTGATAAATTAAAACTGTCTGTGAGGAAGCCAAACTCTCTGAGAGACTGACCTTCTTCCATTTCACTGCTTGTCTGTCTTGCTCCTCCCAACCAAGTGCCATTAACTCGTGCGCCACTGAAACCCAAAAAGCAATGGAATATCTGGATGGTGTTGTACACATTTAGCAGTGGTCATGGATTTCAGCACGTTTCTTTCATGTGACCAAACGCACTCTGCCAGAGTCAGTGTAAAAGGATCGGGGGAAACAACTGCCGCAAAGAGCGGTCCTCTCGTCCTCTATCATCTCAGGATTAAATTTAACTGCGCTCTTGGTGAGGAGGTAAGCTTCTCCGCATCCTCCATTTTCTCTGACTCACAGACTTTGAGAGTAATAAACACAGTCCTTCGTTGTGTGCTCAAAACATCTCTGGGGCAAGAAATGGGTAGGAATCTTCCCAGGTTGTTCAAGTACCGCTGGCCTGAAGCAACACATTCACTCAGGCTACTGATATTTCTTATACACCTACTAAATTGCTGCGGTTTGTAGAACAGTTTCCCCTACATGTTCCAAAGGCCTCAGAAGCCCTCTCCACTGTAACACAGAGCAGGGCTTTTAGTGTGGCTTCCCTTGTTCTGTGGAATAGCATTCCTGCCAAGATGCAACAGGCAACAACTATCTGCAACTTATGGAAACATCTGGAGTAATTTTTGTTCCAATAGGCTTTCCTAGCTGGATAAATATGTATTTACATTAAGTGTCTACTGCATTAGGGTTTTAGTCTTTTTTTTAAAAAAAGGTAATTGCTGTTTTTGTATTTTTAATGTTTTTTAATTATCTTACATGTAAATTGTCTAGAGATGGTTGTTTAGAAACTGATTATTATATTATATTATATTATAATATATTATTAATTATATTATATGGTGATGCATCTCAAAGGGTCTTTGTCCCCTCTTAGTCTGAAGAATATAAAGTCAGGGTCAAAGTCTAATTTTTTTCCCCAGTCAACTGGCTCATAGGCATGTGCTTTGGCAAAAGTGTCAGATATGACCAAATTCCATGCCCGATGGAGCTCTAGTGGGAAATGACAGCTTGGAACATTTCAGCATAAACTATTCAGAACGGAAAAAGGATCGTTAAAAACATTCACGAGGCCATCAATGGGACTTAAAAGGGTTTTGAAACCATAACCAGCTTTACAAAGTCTTCCGGTGAATTCTATACATTACATTTTTACTGCAGCAATACACACATCATTTGAATGAGCACAGGATTTATATTAGACATTTTTAGGGGCGGATGGGCATTTTCCTGAGAGTATATTGCCACTTAAAATTGATTCCCATGACCACCCTCTGTTTCCCTTTGGGGGGTGGGAGTGGCAGCTCACTATGACTTGCAATCATTAGTGGTGTGAACAGATGCAGTTATGTCTGGGGGGCAGCAGGACCCTCAGAGTTGACTTTGTAGATGAACTCAAAATTCTGATTGCATGTGCCATTGGTTTGGATGTAACTACCTTTGCTGCAAAAGTTTCTGAACTGTGAGTTTTTCTGAGAAAGGGATTGAGAAATATAAATGCTTCAATTTTAGTGAAGGTCTTTGGCTGTATGGTTTGATGACTATTACTCAAGTTACTTTTAAAACACAGAAGTGTTGTCTCATGCATTGTTCCTTAAGATTCATGGTTTTCTGTGCATGGCCCTGTGTGGATTTCAGATAGACCAAGGGTGCAGAACTTGTGGACCTCCCAAAGTTGCTGGATTCCAGCTCCCATCAATTCCTGTGAGGATGATCAGTGGTCAGAGTAGCAACAAAACAATAACTGAAGGCCTATAGATTAATTATTATTCCCCACCTCTGAGACAGAAAACACCTAAAATAGATCTGTAGGTTGCATATCTTCCTATGAAACAGATTTATGTGATAGCCTACCAGCATCATACCAGTTCATGTACTTTAAGAGATGTCACTGAAAAGTGCACATTTGTCTTTTACAAGTAGCATGAGTAGTGATTATCCAAGAAGGATTGTTACATCCTGCCCTTTGAGTCACACTATGGCCATCATATGATTACAGACATCCTGTAACACATTCCGATGCACACTTACTTGAAAGCGAGCCCCATTTTCTTCAGCATGCCCTATTCCCAAGCATGCATGCATAGGGCTATAGCCATGGTCAATTAATTATACTCGTTTTTAATTAAGCAATTACATCTGATTCCTTACACCTACATAGGACTACATATAACTGATCAAAAGTTTTTAGTTTGTTAATATAAGCAATGAATTAACACAATGCTACAGCACTTGTTCATACTTTTAGTTCTGGAGTCAGTGAGAAGGACCATAGCTCAGTGGTAGAGCTTCTGCTTTTCATGAAGAAGGTCCCACTCAGTGTAAACAGCACTGAGCCAAATAGACCAAAGGTCTGACTTATTGTTAGGCAGCTTCCTATGTCCCCATGCTCCCTTTAATTTTTATACGGGGAGCTGTTTATATGAGGACAGCTAGTTTTTCTTCTGACAGGGCATGTTTTCAGTTTTCTTATGGGAATCATTCTGTAAAGACAACCGTATGGTGCGGCCCTGTTGCACAGGTTTTACCACTGCCGAAATGTTCATGTTAATCAACTCCTGGCAGCAACGGAAAACCCCGACCTAATTTGTGGCCACATTTTGACTGAAGTGAGAATACTTGGTAGGCTTCCCCACCCCCAGCCACTTCCAGTTTGGTGGTGAAGGAAGCTACCAATTAATGCTCAAAAGCATAAGCTTTTGAGATGAAATGTCCCATAGGTCTGACCCCAAACCCACTGGCCAAAATGAGCTGTGAATAACAAACCAGCATTCATTCTGTACATTGTTTGCACAAAGAGAACGAGTTCATAGATGGATGTCTGTCAAATGTAATAGCTTTAAATTAGGCCTTCATATTTAGATGGTCCACGTTGGGTCTTCTAAATAACAGTTTGAATGCATTTGACACTGACTGTTCGCAGGCTTTCAGAAGCGCTTCTAAAAAAACAGGTGGCCAACTTGCAGCTTCTATGTCATACATGAGCTGCATATTTGAAGAGTTCTAAAACTGTAGCATGCCTCTTGCACGGCGAGACCTTTCCTCCAGCAAGCAATGGCTGTCATTCTGATGTCTTTGCACACTTAAGTGGTATATGAGTGTGCCTGTATGCCGGTCAGCGGGAGGTAAGGATTAAAATCTAACCTCACAAATGTAGAATGCGTCAACATGCAGCCTTCAAGCTATAAATTAGACCCTTCCTTCCCCCTGACGTACAGAATCTTTGCTATTCCCTCACTTAAAACTGATTTAAATGGCTGTCCAGTGCTGTTTGTCAACTTGACGTCTGATTTAGATGAGGCATTGCTTGCTTTTAAATCTGACACTCACACTTCTTCCCTGACCGTCCTGCTCTTATAGCTTCCAGTCTCCCGGCACTCCTGTTCCAGAGAAAACAACAGAGGTAGAAGTGCTGTTTGGCCCTGCTACCTAGGCAGGAAGTCAGAAGGCCTGCTAGACGCATCATCCTATCTTCCTTTGCTAGAATGTGTCAAAATGCTTTTCTGTGCCTGAATATTAACAGGCGCAGAAAGTATGCTCTGCGCTACAGCTCCATATAGCCTTATATGGCTGACGCGTCTCATCAGATGGTTTCTCGCTCTGGCTAAAATTAACAGCGGGTGTTCCAAAAGTTTCGTGTGTGGTGCCGTCTGGCACATAGGGGTTAATCAAATAATCACATTGTTTTAAAAATGTAAATATAGCAGAAAATATTCGGGTTTGAAGATTAATATTTTTCATATTCCCTGGAATCTGAGGATAGTGGTGGTCTTATCAATACTATTGAGAAAGTTGTAAGCCTACTCGGTTTTTATGTGCTTCAGTTCAATGGAATTTAAAAGCACATAACTGCATGCAAGATTATCGCCATGTTCACAGTATGGTTCATTTATTTTATTTTTTTGGAGGAGAGAAATCTCCAATTTACAGCTTCTTGTCCTTAACTTGTTAGCCTTCTGCACTTGAAATAATGGGTAGAAGTCAACTAAACGTTATGCAGAGTATGCCTGTTGGAATTAATAGACCTATGTTACTCATGATCATTAATTTCAATGGGTCTACTCTGAGTAGGCCGAGTGTTGAATTCTACCTATATTTCAGAATTCCATACAAATAGAGAATAGCTCCTATAATTTATCTTGCGTTTTGGGTTAATGTTGGGTTTGCTGCGATGTCTGACCAAATGTTATTTTCAGTTTAATTCAAGTAGCTGCATCAGCCAGTTTTATAGCCTCAGCTATGAAGAGCCAATATTTGATAAGGACAATTGCATATCAGAAGAATACAGCCAATTAGAATCCACGTCCTGGTTTGTACTTTCTCAGAGAAACTCCTCTTTAATCAGCAGTCCTGAGGGGGAAGGAGGGAACCCTAAGTGAACCTATAGAGCTGCCCCAAATGCTTTTAATACATTAAGAATTATACCAAGAAACCAGCCAGAAGGGAGCTCCCTCATCCCTCTCTGCACACCTCTGTTACCCCATAATACTTCATAACCATGTGGTGGTTTCGGTAGCTTTAAAGAGGACTATTTTGGAACTCATGCATTTCCCCTTTCTAGTCCTTCGAGAAGTATCACACTGGCTGCTTACCCAGCTGTCAAATGAAGAGTATCGGCTAAAGGACGCCTCTGTCATGCAAGTACAATCTAACACAAGATGCTCCTGAGCTTCAGGAATTTGTGACTCACCTGTCCGTGAGGATACTCCCTGCCTTCTCTGCCCTTGTCACGGCTTCCTCTTTGCTGCTTCCCACAAGGGTCTACGTTGTAGTCAATACTCTTGCAACTGAACAGCTAACTTAGAATTAGGTCATCGAGAGCCCTCTGCTCCTCTCCCTCAGTCCGTCTCGCTTTCCCCCTCTCGCTCTCTTAATCTCTCTCTTGCCCTCTCCCTTTCATAAGGTGAAAGCTTGTCAGAGAGCTGTTAGCCTGTAATAAATCCAAATGATTTTTTTTATTGGAAACTTATGGCATCTGCCTTGTAGCCACTATACTATTCCAGTACATGCCAGAGACGGCGCTGCACAAATTTGAGATTAACTCTAATTCTTTGGCATTTCATAAATCAATTCTGAAGTGTTAATTTTCTGCGGATCTGATTTCTTCTTCAAACTGAAACCTTCAAAGCTCGCCCCTTCTGGTAAAACCTTTAAATATTTCCATGAGGAGCACAACAATGTTTGTATACAGCGGCGAGACTTCCACGTTTTCAGAAGTGGTGAGCACTCCCAATTTTTTCTGAACCAATAGCTAAGCACTTTCCGATTTTTTTCTTTTTTAAAACCTTAATTGTTCTAACTAATCTTCGAAGATTAGTTAGAACAATTAATGTTCTTGTTACATACTGTACATTAGAGGGGGCACTTTTAAAAGCCAATTGTTGAAATCCAGTGTTAGTAGACCCACTGAAATTAAGAGAAAAGCAGCTTCTTGTGATTTGTATAATTCTATGCTTTGCCTCGATCCTTCTATGCCAGTGTGGTGTAGTGGTTAGAGTGTCAGAAGAGGACCTGGGAGACCAGGGGTCATATCCCCCCTCAGACATGAAGTTCACTGGGTGACCTTGGGCCAGTCACTGCCTCTCAGCCTAACCCACCTCACAGGGTTGTTGTGAGGGTTGAATGAGGATGGGGAGAGCCATACATGCCATCTTAAGTTCCTGGAAGGATAAGGTGGAATATAAATACAAAAAACAATAACATAGAACTCTCTTATGGCTTTCCCGGTCACTTCAATAAAGTGACTGGATTTGCATATGCAATAGGCAACACTCGTCCTTCCACTGACATGAATGGAGCAGCCTGTATTTGCAGTAGATCTCTCTGTATGTGCATCTCAACACTGAAGTGCCAAAGTTTATTTTTAGTCTTTCAGATATCATCTGCCCTGGATCTTTAGGATAAGGATGTGATATAAACGGAAAATAAAATGTGTTTGCTCCAAGATGTTCTCTATAAATGTTATAGTGAGTGTACACAAAACAACAACAAGAAACCCCCTGCTGATTGCCAACATTAACACATGAATGTTGACAATCCTAAAAAAGTTTTGTGAACACCTTAAAATAGATTATCTGTCTCCCTGCTTTCCAAAACATAAACAAGTAAGTGCAGGTAATCACATGCAGGTGACTGTCGGCATTATTCACCACATCTCTGAGTTTTCAGACGTTCATAAAACTTTGCTGAGATTGTTATATGTGAAACGCTGTTACAAAATTTCAAACAACCCTTGTAACAAATCACTAGGGAAAGGACAATACACAGCAAAGCATACATGTACTAAATACTGGTTCATAGCAGCCAGGTTGTTATAGAATACACATACAACTTTTATGAACATTTAGCGAACTACCATAGAATTTCTCCTATCGAAACATCTGCCTCAAAGGTATAGCAATTACTCCCCATTACCCCATATAAACACTACTTAACTGCTTTTCTTTCATTAAGCATTAGCAATGGTCAAAACAAAAAAAAAAAATTCCTTCCAGTAGCACCTTAAAGACCAACTAAGTTAGTTCTTGGTATGAGCTTTCATGTGCATGCACACTTCTTCAGATATGCTGAAACAATAGTTGCCAAATCCTTCTATATAGTGAGAAGGTGGGGAGGGGTATTACTCAGAAGGGTGGTGGGAATGGGTGATTGGCAGATAGCTGTGATGAGCCTGTTGACGACTCTTAACGACTGCAATAGGTCTTACAGGAAAAAGCAAGGGGTGAGAAGGTGAAAAATGGCTTTGTCATGTATAATGAGATAAGAATCCAATGTCTTTGTTCAGACCAGGTCTCTCCATGGTTTTAAGTTTGGTAATAAGTTGCAATTCAGCAGCTTCTCTTTCCAGTCTATTTCTGAAATTCCTTTGTAGTAAAACAGCTACTTTGAGATCTTGTGTAGAATGTCCTGGGAGATTGAAGTGTTCTCCTACTGGTTTCTCTGTCTTGTGATTCTTGATGTCAGATTTATGTCCGTTTATTCTTTGGCGTAAGGTTTGGCCTGTTTGTCCAATATAGAGAGCTGAAGGACACTGTTGGCATTTGATGGCATACACAATGTTAGACGATGAGCAATTAAATAGTCCCGAGATGGTATGTGTGATGTTGTTGGGGCCAGTAATGGTGTTGTCCGGGTGTATGTGGCAGCAAAGTTGGCATCTGGGTTTATTGCAGGCTCTGGTGCCAGTGTCCGTGTTAAGTCTGGTTGTAGTATTATTGTGGGTTAGGAGTTGTTTAAGATTGGGTGGCTGTCTGTAGACAATGAAAGGTCTTCCTCCCAGAGCTTGAGAAAGAGAACTGTCATTGTCCAGGAGAGCAATGGTGTAAATGAAGGCAAATCAAATTGCCTACTCCACTACCCCAACTCCAGGCTATTTTAGGGTTGCCATATTTCAAAAAGTGAAAATCTGGACACAAAAGTTGTTGAGCTATTTTTAAGGAAATTCGCCAAAAAAGCAACACTTCCAACATGGGTTCCCCAGATATTTTTTACTGATTTTTGGAAATTCTGCTCAGATGCTATTTCTGATGGACAAATCCCAGATATGTCCAGGGAATCCCAGATGTTGGTAGCCCTTGGCTAGTTCCATAGCCTTTCTTCGGGGCCACAATCAGCACCTGGCAACCCTGCAGCAGCTGGGGCCCAAGTGCCTTGGCAGGAGCCATCAATACTGAGGCATGCTCTGCCCACTACTCCCACATTAGCACAGCCAAACAAAACTTCACCAATCTCCCCCTCTCCTCTAGGGGCTTACCTAGTGGTGGGTTTCCCGTGAGACTAAAACACCCCCTGAGCTGCACTTGGCTGTTTCCCAAATAGCAATGCCACAAATTACTCAGTGTATCTGCTGCTTGGCTCTCACCACTGGGCAAGGAGTGGGGAAGACCCACTCATCCTTGGTTTGGGTCCTGTCTTTCTTTTCTTTGAAATGCGTCGCTAGCAGTAATGGTTGAAGAGGACACCAAAACCCTTAATTGTGTGAAGTTGAAAGTCTGCTATTTAGATGGGCAATTTGGTCCTTTGGCTTAGAACACCAAATTTCTCCATGTGGCACAATTGACATCGGTGTGCCCATAGCCTCTACCATGTTAGACGCATACCAAGCAAGTGGAGCCTGATGGCATCTTATCATGTTTCTATATCATAAATCTACAAACCTCTCCAAAAATCAGAATGTTCAAAGCACACAAGTGTGAATGATCTAACTATTGACTAAAAATGGAACAGTTGTTCATTTAGGGCTCCACTGGAGGGGCTACACCAGTGTGGTGTAGTGGTTAAGAGCTGTAGACTCGTAATCTGGTGAACCGGGTTTGCTTCCCTGCTCCTCCACATGCAGCTGCTGGGTGACCTTGGGCTAGTCACACTTATTTGAAGTCTCTCAGCCTCACTCACCTCACAGAGTGTTTGTTGTGGGGGAGGAAGGGAAAGGAGAATGTTAGCTGCTTTGAGACTCCTTCAGGTAGTGATAAAGCGGGATATCAAATCCAAACTCTTCTTCTTCTTCTACACTGCTTCTGCACAGCGGTTTAACACCACATCTTCAATCTAACCAATACAAGCCTTATTGCCCAACTAACTTGAAATTGCCCCTCTCTGGGTTGTGCATCTTAATGGGCTGATGACTCCACAGTAACTGTCCTATAGTGCACGTGATGCTTGACATCACACGTGTTTTGAAGAACTAATTGTACACGGCTATTTCTGTTTGTTCTGGATTTGGGGAAACAGTGGCACTACCAGTTCCAAAAGGAAACATGACAACATCTGGAACTAGTAACATGCTTCATAAAAGCAATTTGAAACCATATACTTTACTTTTCCTGTGCCGTTTGGCCTTATTGGTGTAGTACAAAGCAAATTTGTCTCAATCCAGAGCTGGCATCTCTCAGAATGGCAACTGAGCATTTCTTTGCATAGAAATTAATTTTGCCAGAAATGTATCCAAAGAGAATGTTATTGACCGGAAAGTAGGATTTCACCATTGAATACCATTTCCCACACGAAAGAACTTGTGTGATCTTTAAATGCAAAACCTGCTAGCACTTAAGTTTAATTTTGTCACCTTCTGTGATCAGCTATAAATAGTAGAGCCAGAGCTGTCTGAGATAACTCTTGCTTGCACCAGCATCCTCTTGGCTGCTGACCTGGCCAAGACACTCGCAATTCTCACACAACCAAATCCAGATCTTGTGCAAGCTCTCTTAGGGTGTGTCTAGGCCAACAGCATTTCACACAATCTGGTGTGTGAAATTGCATGACGGGGGCAATGCAGGTCTCACCACATGGTCAGGTCTGCCCCCATTTAGCACTCCCCATTTAGAGATACAAACCTATTCTATAGAGTTGTTTTGTACTGTCCCTCCCCATAGCCTTGCCTTGTTCTTCTTTCTGTCTTAGAATCTTTTTCTATGTTTATATTTCAAAAGTGAATTCAGTATTTATTCAGGCATGGGGGAAATTATGTGCTAGCCTGCTCTAGGAAAAGGAACCACATGGAGATTTGATTCTGGGTTAGGGCGGGTCAACACTGACATGAAATGTCAACAGGGTGCTGCAATAAGAGTACACGGAAAAGCGACTTGGCAGGTCAGTCACTCAATCCCTCCTTCCTCATCCACTTCTCAGAGATTCTGTTCTGAGGCCTGTAGTTCCTTCAGCTGATCTGTCCTGACTGTCTCAGCTTCTCTGCATTCTACTGCCAGTGGGACTGCGGCAGAAGCAGCACTGTGTAGAAATTGCATTTTGCCTGAGGTACAGAGCAGTATAAATCCCTGCTAAACTGTAGCAATTCCTCAAAGTGTGTGTGTAGATATAGATATAAGATTTATATACTGCCCTTCATTAAATATCTCAGGCCTGTTCACCAGCCCATACTTTCTGGTTGCAAACCCAAGTCCCACCTTTCAGACTGAAAATATGCCCAACTTCACTTCCAACTTATTATTCTATTTGTC